AAGTCCTTGCCCTGCATGAGGTCAGGCACGTGTTGATCATCTCTAATGTGGCTTTTAAATAAGGTCCTCTATTAATAGATCTCTAAAAAAAAAATAAAAAAATAAAAAAATCCCCCTGAGCAATCAATACAGGGAGATGTGTCACGAGTTCAGGGACAGGGAGGGGAAAAAAAAAAATCAGCTCCAACCTGAGAGAAATCCAGCCCCATTTAAGAGCTGAATTCGGTTCATTAGAGACACCAGGGTTAAACACAAAGCCCTGGCTGAGTTCAGCACTGCTGGGTGGCCCGACTGGGAAATGAAAGGCATCAATTTTACCACCAGATTTTTCATCTGTGTTCCAAACCCCCCTCCCCAAACCGCTCTGGCAGCAGGAAAAGGGCCTTGGAGTGACTGGAAATTACAGCTCCTTTCCCTCTGGCTGAGGGGGATGAAGGGGCTCTGCCATCAGTTTTAAAAGCATCGCTTTCAGGAGTGGGGCAGGATAATTCCCCTCAGCCATCAGAGCCCATTCCAGGGCTGGGAAGCTCCAGGAGCCAGGGAAAAGGAGAGGTTGACCCTCCAGGGGCAGGATGGCCTTGATGCTTTGATGGCCTTCACTCAGGTTTGGAGAGCACTTAGAGATCTGTGGCTGGAAAATGAGATGCAAATGCTCAGTGTTAGCATTAACAGTGGCAGGGCAATGCAGGATTTGGGGAAAAGCTGGAGCATGACCTGTTTTTTCTGCTTTTGAATGAAGTTTGTAGCTCACTTGAACTGTTGCAAAGCTGGGGGTGAAGTGCTGCCCACCCGAAGAGGAAAAGCTGAAGGCACTTCCTACACAAAGCCTTTGGGTTTGGGGTGAAATCACCCCTGAAAAGGAGAAAATAACCTGCTTTAGACACTGCCTGGATAAAGGAGTCCAGAGGCTGAATGGCCTCAGGGTCTGTTTTTAAAGAGATTTTCTTTTTGTGGAGAAGGCAATGGCAGGAGAGGAGGTGTCAAACTTCAGACTGTTGCCAGAGTCCTGTTTTTTGGGCTAAAACTGTTAATGAGCTAAAATGGGGTGATTGTTCACTGAGGACAACAAGATAAGAACATGATAACAAGATAATCTGATACACTGAGATGTGTTTAAATTTTATTTGTTTATACCCTTTTTAAAGCACAGCCTGTGAGAGTAGAGCAAGTCTTGTCACCCAGGTGAATGTTCCCCTGGAGAAGAGAAGGCTCCAGGGAGAACTGAGAGCCCCTTGCAGGGCCTAAAGGGGCTCCAGGAGAGCTGGAGAGGGACTGGGGACAAGGCAGGGAGGGACAGGACACAGGGAATGGCTTCCCAGTGCCAGAGGGCAGGGATAGGTGGCATATTGGGAAGGAATTGCTGTCTGGGAGGGTGGGGAGGGGCTGGAATGGATTTCCCAGAGAAGCTGTGGCTGCCCCTGGATCCCTGGAAGTGTCCAAGGGCAGGTTGGAGCAACCTGGGATAGTGGAAGGTGTCCCTGCCCATGGTTTGGAGCAAGATGGTCTCTGCAGTCCCTTCCAACCCAAACCATCCCGTGATTCCTGTGAGAAAATAATCTGAAATTCGGTGTTTAAACCAGTCAGTTGTTCACTGACCACGACAATCTGAAGTCAGGAGATCCCAAAAGGGGCTGAATTTCAAGGGCAGCTCCAACTCCACAAGCCAATGGCTCATCTTTCCTTTTCCTACCTACAGACACCACCCGACCACCTTCAAAACTTCCCAAATCCTTCACTGTGCATAATAACCCCTTCTCTGTCAGATATGCAGAGGATCTGAGGAGCTCCACAAGGGAAAAGGATGAAAGGGGATGTTCCATCTGCATCTGACAAGGCAAGAGAAGCGGGAGAGGGAAAACCTGACTTCCATTTTCATATAAAACCCATTTAAAATGGACTTGCCTTCCTCAATAAATTCACCCTCTCCTGGCAACTTGAATCCTTAAAGGGTTATTGTGAAAAAGAAGTTTGTGTTCCCTCAGAAGAAGTGTCTGATGGGTTTGGGAAATACAAAATCCAATTGTGAGGGAGTGCAGATAAGGGAAGAGCTGTGGGAGAGCCATCAGCTGAGCAAACACTAAATAATGAAGAATGCAGAGGCTGCTCCCAGTGAGTGACAAAACACTCCATTAGCAAGTCTGCTGCTCAATGAGTGATAATTGGGGCACGTCTACAGCCAGGGGTTATTAAATTTTTATCTCTAGGAAGGGGCCTTTTGACAGACTCATCCAAAAAAGCCAGGATTTCCTTGCTCAGGATTTCCCAAAACCTGCTCAGGATTTCCCAAAACCTGCCCAGCTCCACCTGAGGCTGCCTGAATATTTATAGCTGTGCCCAGAAATTGCCCTTTTCTGGAAAAAGATCACGATTTCCTGCAGGGAAAGGGACTCAGGGCCACCACCACCACGGCATGGACTGGTTGGAGATCACAGGATTTGTGGCACTGCACCAAAAATTCTGGTTCTGATCCCTCACTAAACGTTTGGATGATGCCCTGAGCAGGACCAGGATTTAATTTCCAGTTGCTGGGAACAGAAAAGACAAAAGGATCAAAGAGCTGGATGGGTGTTCTCATCCTGCAGGGAAGATAAACCCCCAATTACTGAAATTACTGCTTTTGTTCAAGCACAAACACTTCAGTGGAATAGCTGGGCCAAGAAGAAACAGAAAGCAGAAGGCAGAGCTGCTCAAAGGAATACAAAAAAAGTGCCACCTGCCCAAAAAGCAGGATGGGTGACACGTTGGTTTGTGCAAGAGGAACCAATCCCAGTTGCACTGAACTGGAATATTTGGGATTAAAGTTACTGTGACAAAAATCCCCTTTATTTAGAATTGGAGAATCCCAGAATGGTTTGGGTTGGGAGGGACTGGAAAACTCCTCCCCATGGGCAGGGACACCTTCCACTATCCCTGGTTGCTCCAACCTGGCCTTGGACACTTCCAGGGATGGGAACTCCACCACCTTCCAATGCCTGGCCACCCTGTCCAGGAAGAAATTCCTCCTGTTTTTCCTTTTGGAGTTAATAGCTCTGCTGGAAACCTTTCCCTGGGTCAGACTTAGATTATAACCCCAAGGCCAGACAGGGATCATCTCATGGAATCATGGAGTCCCAGGATGGTTTGGGTGGGAAGGAACCTTAAAGTCCATCCAGCACTGCTCCTTCTTCCCCTCGTTCCAGATACTCCCGGAATTGTACAGATGTTTTTACTAGGAAGTTATTCCAGAGGAAGATGGATTTTTCTCGTCAGGAGGGGGCTGCCAAGTGAAGTATTCCACTCTGTGCTTTTATGTTTATTCACTGCTGCGTGGAAGGGCCCCTCACCAAGCCTCAAAGTCCCCTTTAATGTCGGGGAAATATTGATTTATTTAAAAAAACCAAGGGTTTCACCCAGAGCTGAAGTTATAAATGATGTTTTATTTTAACAGCTCTGACTGTTACAACACAAATATTCCACCCCAAGAACCCTCTCAGTAACTAAAGATCTGTGAGTAAATATTTGGCTGCTGAAGTTTGAGAGCTGGATTTAGGTTTTTTTTCTATTTTTTGGTTTGGTCTTTTTTTTCCCACTGGGCTTCGTCTAAATTTTATTTGTTGATACCCTTTTTAAAGCACAGCCTGTGAGAGCAGAGCGAGTCTTGGCACCCAGGTACTGAGAACTCAAAATATGGGTTTGGAATATTGGAATATTAAAGCTCCATGGATTAATTTGGGGCTTTAATTGTTAACTGATTGTATAATTTTAATTATCCTTCCGGATCCCAACGAGCTGAGCATGGACAGCTGGAATAAACAGGTTAAATGTCTTGTCCTAGAGCAGATTTAGGAGCCATGGGAAGGATTTTCACTCAACCAGAGATGTTTTGCTGTCAGGGGACAATGATTTTAATGGACAAACACCACCATGATTTATTCAGCGCCAGCAAATTTCCCTCATCATTTCCCAGGAATAAAAGGCTGATTTTCAATTCCCAACTCCCATCAGAGCTCAGGAGCCTTGGGTGCCCACATCCCTGGGCACCTTCCCAGGAACTGGAAAGTGTGGAAAGACCTTTGAGAGCTGGAAAGACCTTGGTGGTCTTTGTAGAAAGGCCTTTGTGGTCTTTGTGGAAAGGCCTTTGAGAGCTGGAAAGACCTTTGAGAGCTGGAAAGACTTTTGTGGTCTTTGTGGAAAGACCTTTGAGAGCTGGAAAGACTTTTGTGGTCTTTGTGGAAAGGTCTTTGAGAGCTGGAAAGACCTTTGTGGTCTTTGTGGAAAAACCTTTGTGGTCTTTGTGGAAAGACCTTTGAGAGCTGGAAAGATCTTTGTGGTCTTTGTGGAAAAACCTTTGTGGTCTTTTTGGAAAGACCTTTGAGGTCTTTGTGGAAAGACCTTTGAGAGCTGGAAAGACCTCTGAGAGCTGGAAAGACCTTTGAGGTCTTTGTGGAAAGACCTTTGAGAGCTGGGAAGACCTCTGAGAGTTGGAAAGACCTTTGAGGTCTTTGTGGAAAGTCCTTTTAGAGATAGAAAGACCTTTGAGAGCTGGGAAGACCTTGGTGGTCTTTGTGGAAAGACCTTTGAGAGCTGGAAAGACCTTTGAGAGCTGGGAAGACCTTTGAGAGCTGGAAAGACCTTTGAGGTCTTTGTGGAAAGGCCTTTGAGAACTGGGAAGACCTTTCTGGTCTTTGTGGAAAGACCTTTTAGAGCTAGAAAGACCTCTGAGAGCTGGAAAGACCTTGGTGGTCTTTGTGGAAAGACTTTTGAGGTCTTTGTGGAAAGACTTTTGAGGTCTCTGTGGGAAGGCCTTTGAGAGCTGGAAGTGCTGCTCCTGTCACCCCCCAGTGCAGAGGTCCCACCCCAGCACCCATGAGGAAGAAAGACACGAAGCTGCTTCTCTTCCCACCTCCTTCTGACACAAACCCGCTTCGGAACCGGCCACAAAAAGCGCCCAAAACTGCTCAAATTTCACATTTCCGCCGCTCCAGCTCCAAGGCAAAGGCTCTGCCATGGGAGATACTTACTCTGGGAGGTGGAGAGGCTGGAGAAAGCTGCCTTGGTGCGCCCTGCCAGCCACTCCAGGCTCTCGTGCATGTTGGCCAAGGCCTTGAGGTCGCTGACGTCGCGCAGGATCTCCTGCTGAGGGATCAGTTTGTCGCCCAGGTTGCCGATGAGAACTTCGGATTCTTTGCCGAAAGCGGCCCTGAAATGCAAAGCAAAGCCACCCTCAGGGACACAGGACCACGGGACAGGGAGGGGAGACATCCATGTGATTAGTTCAGCTCTGCTTAAACCCAGGCTCAAGGCCTGGCTCAACAGGGCACATCAACTGCCCTGGGAATAAAGCAAATTCCAAATAAATAAAGGGCCTTTCCTCACTGTCCAGCTGTTTCTCTGTGGAGCTCAGTGTTCCTTATTCCCACGTTTTGTCCCCATTCCCATGGGATTTGCCAGTGCTGCAACAGGGGGTCACTTAAATCCCTCCTTTGTCAGACTTAATCCCCGGCTTAACTGAGCTCCTTGTTTGGTTTTCCTTTGTTAAAAAAAATCTTAATTTCTCCATTATATTTTTTTAACATGCCCAAACACAGCTTTATATCCGCCCAGTTTTCATGGATGATCCCAAGGATTTGTGGCATACTCTTGGCACGGTTCCAGCAGGGATGGGGGGAGAGGTCTCTGTCCTGGTTTCCCAAAGAATTATTGAGGTTGGGAAAGGCTCCAGGATCAGGAGTGCCACCAATCCCACTAAACCATGTCACCAAGTGCCACATGGGATGGTGATTCCAGCACTTCTCTGGGAATTCTGCAGGCACACCCTAATGGCCCTAATGATGTGATTTAGGATCATCCTAAATCTTGTTAAACAAGGCAGGGGGCTGCTGTTAAATCCTTGTGGAGAGGCTGGAAGTGTTGTTATCCCTGGAAGTGTCCAAGGCCAGGTTGGACGGGGCTTGGAGCAACCTGGGCTAGTGGGAGGTGTCCCTGCCCGTGACAGAGGGTGAGATGAGATGATTTTTAAGGTCCCTTCCAACCCAAACCATCCTGGAATTTTATGATTTCCAGGATCTTAAGCTGAATTTCCACGTTTCTGCTCTGCCTTCTCCCACTCCATCCCTGAGACAGAATTTAGGGGTACAAACTTTACCCCAAATATTTATGGGGTATTTTTGGGGTGTTTTTTGGGGTGTTTTGGGGGTATTTTTGGGGTGATTTGGGGTGTTGTTTTTAAGGTGTTTTCAGGGTATTTTGGAGGTACTTTTGGGGTGATTTTGGGGGTATTTTAGGGTGATTTTGGAGTGTTTTTCAGTTATTTCGCAGGTATTTCTGGGGTAAGGCTTTTTCCATTATTTTGGGAGGTGGTTTTGGGGTACTTTTGGAGCATCTCTGGGATATTTTGGGGTGTTCTGGGGTATTTTTGGATGCTTTTGGATGTATTTTGGGGATGATTTAGGGGCACTTATGGGGTATTTTTGGGGTGGGTTTTTAGGGCAACTTTGTGAGGTGTTTTTGGGGTATTTCTGGGATGGTTTGGGGGTTATTTTTTGGGGTGCTTTTGGGATAAATTCAAAGGCAAAGGTGGAGATGAGGATTAAATTGATGAATCCCAACTCAGGGACAGCTCTGTATCCTCCTTCTTCCACTTTGAAAAGCCTGGCAGAGCTGCTCATCCCTGCTGCTGGGTGAGCAAACATTCCTGTGACTCGACAGATTCCCTCCTCTCTCCAGGCTGCATCATCCCAAGATTCTGAGCTCCCACTCAGGGAACAGGGAAAATGCCAGTCTGGGCAAATCAGACCTGTTATTTCCAACAGCTTCACTCCCTCCTCCCATTTCCCAGCCAAATGCCAATCAAGGAAGTGATGAAAAGCAATGGGAATGTGCAGCCAGGCTTTTCTGACTCCCTGGAATCACAGAGGAGCTGTTCCTTCAAGGAATTCAGAGCCTGAGCCATTCCCAGTGGGCAGGGAAAGGCACAATCTGCCTCCTCAAAGCTTTCACTTGCCTGGAAAAGGCAGGATCTGGTTTGGAGACAACAAGTTGCCTGTGAAAGAACTCCCTCTGGAGGCACCAGAATTTCTCCTTTGACCCATTTCATTTTTTATTTTATTCATTTCATTTTTCATTTGATTCATTTGATTGGATTTTTCATTTGGGGTTGGGATGGGACGGAGGGAAAACCCCACCAGGTCATGGCTCCAATGGGAAGACAACTTTGGTACCACCAGTTTTGGGGATTCCTGCCCAGTACAACCCGTTGGCCCCTCCCTCAGGTTGCATTTGCTGCTCTCTTCGTCTCCTGGGTGATCAGAGCAGAACCATCAAGCAGGACAAGGATCTCTGGGAATTAAATCCCAGAGATTTAATCCCAATCCTTTCTTTCCTTCCCCAATCCCAGCCACTCCCCTGACTGGGATCACAGGCGTGATTCCTCAAATAACCTTGTCTGAACAACAGAGTGGAGCAGAAATCACACCAGGAGGGGTTGTTTAGGTTGGATATTAGGGAAAATTTCTTCCCAGAAAGGGCTATCCAGCCCTGGCACAGCTGCCCAGGGCAGTGGTGGAATCCCCATTCCCAGAGGGATTTAACAGCCGTGTGGATGTGGCACTTGGGGACATAGGTCAGTGGTGGCCTTTTCCCTAGCAGTGCTGGGGAAATATTTGGACTAGAAAATCTTAAAACCTTTTCTATTTTCTAAATGATTCCATGATTTTACTCACACCTGGGGACACCACAGCTACGAAAACACCACCAATCCTTTATTTCCAGCGGGAAACGCTTTCCAGAGGTTTCACCTCGAGACCCCTTCCCCGGCTTCCAAATTTATTTTACCTTATAAAGTCTTCCTCCTCCTCCCTCTTGGGTCTCAGCTGCTTGGGCTGGGCCATGTTGCTCCAGTTGGGCAGGGATTTTAGGAGCCTGCTGATGTCGTCGTCCTTGGCCCAGGACGCGCTGATCACCAGCTTCTCATCCGACTGCACGATGGTCCTGGGGGGGGAAAAACAGCCCCAAACACGTCACTGGGCTTCAGATCAACTCATCAAACCCCCCTGTCACACGTCAATTAGGCAGCAAGGAAGGGATCCGAGGTGGAATTCTGCCAGGATGAGACAACACAGGTGGGCAGGACATGAAATTCTCTTCAACTCGGAACTCTTGGTGCACTTTGAGAGAGCCCTTGAAGGGAAAAAGGGCCAAGTTCTCCCCAGCCTTGAAATCATGCAGCTTGTGATGTTTGACACAACTGCAGGAGGGGTCATTTGGTGTCCCCAAGGCCTGTTTGCTCCCTGCAATCCCAGCTGAGCTCACCAGCCACTGCTGACGCGTTGGGACTCTCCAACGCGGAATCCTGCCCAGGGCTGGTGACAATGAATTTGTCACATGCACTTACACATAAATTCTCCTTCTCTTCAAGTTCCACGTTCAATCTGCCACAGACAAAAGAGGGAATTTTGTTTCCAGCCACACAAGACCTCGGTGGCAACATTTGCTCTTGGCCTTCTGCTCCTTTCAGGAACTTGGTGTTTTTCCACTTAGGGGGGAAAAAAAAAGGTCTCTTTTTTTTTTTTTTTACCTCAGTGATAGCAGAGTGGGGGGAGAAAAGCTCCCCACCAGCATCTTTGACATCTGAGATGCAAAAAATCTGAATTTGATGATATCTGGCCATTTCTCTGCCAAGGCAAGACAACTGTTCCATTGGATGTATCAGTGCTTTGTCCTCTCCACATTTAAATGACTGAAGGAACAGTTCCCTTCCCTTGGGAGGCTATTTCACAGTTGAACAAACCTAACTCTTGGACTAAAAAAAAAAAAAACAACAAAACCCTCCTGATACGGTGCTTTATTGTGTTTTATTTGACTCAGTTCCATCCCACTGCTCCCTGAGATTTCCCTTTATGGCCTCAGCTCTCACCACTCCCACTGTTTGCTCTCCTCAGTTATTTACAGCCTTCTCGTAGGCCTTCGGTTGTCTGTGACTCCAAGACATTTTGGGGAGTCTCCTGATGGATTTATAGGGAGGACAGAGCTCCCTCTCTGTGTTTTAGGATCCTCATTATCCCCCATCCTCTAAATTCCTGTTGCTTTGTGGAGTCAGTGCTGGGGGAGGGCAGAGGGGAGGATGTTTGGCTGCTGCAACAAGCTGCAAACTCAGCTTGGACTCCTTGCTTTTCCAAGAGAGTTTTCCAAGGGTCTAATCCATGTGATTCCCCACTTTTCTCACCTTCTGGTGATGTGATTCTCATGGGTCCACAGAATCATGGAATGGTTTGTGGTGGAAAGGACATTAAAGCTCATCCAGTCCCACCCCCTGCCATGGGCAGGGACACCTTCCCCTATCCCAGGTCACTCCAAGCCCCATCCAACCTGGCCTTGGACACTTCCAGGGATGGGGAATCCTCTCTGAAGCCCTCACAGCCAAATTCTCCATTGAAATCAATAGGGAGCTTCAAAAAGTAATCCAAGTTGGGACAATTAACATGTCCCTGGGAATTATATCTCCACGTGTATCCCCTGGGAATTATATCCCCCTTCTCTCCCATGGCTGCAACACCTCCTAGTTTTTATTGGCAGGCTGGTTTTCCTCCAACCCCCCCCCTTTAATTAAGGAGATGTCATGGTTTGAATCTTGTTTTCCCCCAGAGGCTAGAAAAGTGGTAGACCCCAAGGGGTGGAAACCCCTGGAAGTTTTGGAGTTCTGTCCAATGGGCGCTCCTGCAAAAATGTAAACATATCACAAGCTCACCGGAAGAGATGAGTGGTAGTTTGGTTGTTGAAGGAGAGGTGGCCATGTTGTAGAGCCACGAGGAAGGGGCTCTGAGCCCCTTGGGCCCTCTGGGCCCTCCCAGCCCCTGGCTGGGGGCTGCGGGGACCTGGAATAGCATAAAGCTGGGCTAGGTGCCTGTAGTTATGCCGGGAGATGTTTTCTCCATGGGCGCAGAGCAGCAGCCGGCACTGACCAGAGAAACGGTGGCAGAGAGCCAGAGATAAGAACCTGAACTGAAGGAGCAGCAGAAGCAACATGCAGCACCAGAGAAAGGACTCCTGGAAGGAGAGCCGAAGAGAAAGAGAGCCAGCAGTCTGAGAGACAGAGTTCTGGGGGTAAGACTGTACCAGATCCCCTAAAACTCCCTTGAGACCCCTCTTGGAGAAGAGGGACATGGACTCCTATTAAGGAGAAGAGTTTTAGACATGCAGCACCAGAGAGAGAGAGGAGCTGAGAAGCTCAGAGCGTCCCGGAGCTGGACCGGGACGGCCAGAGGAATGTGGGGGGAGTTGACCTTGGCTCCCCCCCCTTGCACTGCTGCCACGGTGGCAGCCTGAGAGACAGGGCACAGAGGCCCTGCAAGGAGCTGAGTCTCCTGGAGATACCAGACCGTCACGAAGACCCCCCTGTGTCTTCGTGATATGACCGTGGTGATACGACCTTGTCTGGGGTTACGAAGCCCACGGAAGACCCCTCGGTTGGAGGCGATGGGGCCGAGAGAGGCTTGAATACCTCCCTCGTGAGTGCTGGCAGAAATCCAGCTATCAGCTGCTGCATGTGGAGAAGACAGACAGACTGCTGCCTCAGAAGATGCTGCTGTTCAGAGACTGAAAGGGATCTGTCCTTCTTTCCCTCCTGGACTTTTATTTGGAGGAGAGAAGAGATCTGGTCCACTGTAAATACTATATGTCGTGGTAGAGATAGTTGTGATCGTGTGTATAATGTGATGTGGTATTTATTTGTATAGTCATTGTAATATATTCCCTTTCCCCCACTTTGAGTCTGGTGTGTGTTTTGTCTGGAAAAACCCATCTCACATTAGGTTGAGATGTGGGAGGGGGAATGGAGCTAGGGGATTGGATTTTGGGGCTATCTCAAACCATGACAGGAGATGTTAAATAAGGTGGGACATCCCCAACCTCCATCAGACACCCAGTTTTCCCCACCAATTCCAGCCTCCTTTTCCCACACCTTTTCCTTCCAGCATCTTCCAACCAGTTTTTGACCTCCAGAACTTCCATCCATGTCAGTCCTAAATCAGGTCCTGGAGTAAATCATCCCAAGGCAGGATGAGAGGTTTTGCTACAGCTCAAAATGCTTCCTTTCCAACTCCCACCTCCTCCTCCCAAACTCCTCAGTCATTATTCCTGCTGTTCCAATGAGGAATGCTGGGTTATCCTGGGCTGGATCCAGGGGCTCCATCACTCAGCAGGACAGAGGAGGAGGAAAATAAGATGGGAAAAAACCTTGTGGCTCGAGCTTTTAATTGTGGGACAGACATATATTTTGGAATATCAGCTTGGGCCAGCTGTGTCCCCTTCCCAAAATCCTGCCTTCTGGTGAGGGGGAATGTTGGAGAGATGCTTGTGGCTGAAACACTGGTGTGTGACCAGCATTTTTCCAGCTCCAAATGGAAAAAATTAACTCCATCCATGGAGAAAATTAACTCCATCCCAGCCAGATCCAGTGCAGGGTCATCTGCTTAACCAGTGTAATGGTCACCTCATTCATCCCCAGCTCTCTGGGCCAAGGAAAATGCCATAATTTGGAATGATTCCTTTCTCTTCCCATGGCCAAGGTGATGTTTCCACGCTGAGCTCTGCTCAGTTAAAAATCCCAGATTTAAAATCCCAGGTACCTCCAGCCTGAGGGACACAAATCCTGTCCCAAAAAGAGCCCAAAACCCCACAACTTAAACCCCCCAGAATTTAAAGCAAGAAGGGGAAGATGCCAATGAGAAGCATCATTCCCTGGGGGAATCAAGAAATCCTGTCTGCCCACAGACCCCACGTTTTTGGATGAATTAATCTGCTCCTCCTTTCCTTATCAATTAAAAAAAAAAAGAGGGGTTTAGATTTGGAAACATTTCCAGTCAGGTTTTGTTTTTTATTATTTCCCTCTTTTGAGAGATCCAAGCCCAGTTATTTCCCACTGCACAAATTTAGGCTGAGTCCAGCTTGGTCACCACAAGCTGATGGAGAGAGCTGAGCACCTCCAGAGGGTTTAAGTCACTTTTTAGTAGGATGAACCACTTTTTGGGGGCATCCACCTCTTTTCAGAGACTAAAAAAAGGCTTGTTCGGGTGAGTGATGCCTTTACTCAGAGCCTTCAAACAGGCTGAAAAATGTGCAAGATGATGGTTGCTCAAGGGAGAGAGGATGAAGATGAGGGTGGACACACAGGGTGGAGCCTAAAGCTGGCAATGAAATAACTAAATATTGGCCAATTCCTGCAGAAAGACACGGGAAAAGATTAGTTTTAGCACTCAAGGTTGTCTGAGAAGGGTGTTGGAAAAAGTGAAGAAGCAACCTGTGAACTGGTCGGGGTTCTCCCTGTCCCTGTGACACCTTGTATGGCCTTTTAGTGCCTCTCAAAGCCTCATAAAACTGGTTTTATCCCACAAGGAGAGCCACTTCCACAGGAATCTGCTGAAGGGTGAGGGCTGGACAAGGCTGAAGAAAAGCACTGCCAGCACAGCAGGAGGTTCTGGGGCTCTATCTCCCATTTTAATTGACATTTTCATCCCCAAGCCCTCTTATGGATTAGCTGGAAAACATTTGTCAACAGTTTGTGTCACGTTGAAATTGGAATTTGGATGGATGTGTAACCTTGCAGGAGACACCTCACCTCCATTAAATATAAAACTCCTGGAATTCCTCATCCATTAAAACATGAAATCCTGGGGTTGCTACTTAGATAAATGACCAAGCCATTCATATCCAGCCCTGCTGGGTTTCCCTTTTCATAATCCCTAAGGAATAAGAGCCAAATGGGACTCGGACACAGACAATCCCAGCTGTGCCTTTCCTGCTGTTGTTCCTTCCAGTCCTTCCTGAGCTTCTCCACAAAGAAAATCTCCCTTGGAGGAGCCTCTCCTTGAGCACATTTCACTCATTTTTGTCCATATTCCCCTTGAGGAAACACAGGGGGAAGGAACCAATGCCATGTGCAAATCCTACATCCCCTGGCTTCCCAAATTCCCACTGCCTTGACATCCCAAGAAGAGACGCTCCCTTGCTCCGGGAGATCAATTCCCAGCTCCGATAAATCAATTTATCCGGATTTTAAGCAGCTAAAAATAACCCTCCCTCCACTAAATTTCGAGATTTGCCCAGCTCAGCTCCAAGGAAAAACCCTGGAGCAAAGGGTGAGGCTGCCTGGAGCCGTAGGGATCCGAGATCCCTGCAGAGGGCACAACATCCCTGCGGATGGAACCGCCCAGGAAAACCTGGGAGCTTGCTCTGCTCCTCCACATCATTTGAAATGGATATGGATTTCTATTTCTATTTTCACTCGCTCATTTGCCAGCAGCAAAAACGAGAACATTTCCTGTTTCTCCTCCTCCTCCTCCTCCTCCTCCTCCTCCTCCTCCCGCTTGTAATCAGGAGATCACCAAATTAGGCCCGGCCTAATTACTCCCTCAGCAGGTGCCAAAGCCAGGAATGGCACCAGCAAAAAAAAAAAAAAACCACCAGGAAGGAAGGAAGGACCTTGGAGTTCAAGCCAAACAAATCACATCTATTGTCTGGCTCCAGGCAGCAAAGTTTTCCTATAAAAAAGGAACATTTTGGACAATGGCCCACGGGCAGGGAGCAATTCCTGTGAGAGCTCAGGCGAAGTTTATTATTAATAATAATAATGAGCTGCTCAGCAGATGAAGCTTTTCCTCAATGAAACCAGGCAATGGGAAAGAATTCCTTGCTCAGGAAACACAAGGGGCTTTTTCAGCTTCCCCCTGCCACCAGCAAGCCCCAATTAGCCATTAAGGGGATTATGGAGAGCAGCAATTACTGCCCACATTTAGTGGCTTTCAATGGCACTATTTATCCCTGCATGATCCTGGTGCTCCTCTCCAGGGAGAGGGCCATTTTACAGCTGGAATACTGGGATGGACAGAGAAGAAGGTATTTATTGACAGTGACACAGGAAAACTGTGATAAATCAAATACCCAAAGGGCTTCAAGGGAACAACCCTATGTCCAGTGGGATCACACTGCCTTCGGCTCCCACACCGTGGCCAGGGAAGAAGTTAGAAATGGATCATCCCAAAAATGCTGATGAGCAAGGAGGGAGCATTTGATGGCCCCCCTGAAAGAGTAAATTTACAGAATTGTGTTGGGAGGGGTTCACAAAACCCAGTGCGTGTGGATTTACAGGGTTATTAATCCCCAGAATCAGAGAATCCTAGAAATGTTACAGTTGGAAAAGTCCTCTGAGATCATGGAGTCCTCCCACTCCCCCAGCACTGCCAAGGCCACCAATGACCCACATTCCCAAATGCCACATCCACATGGATTTTAAATCCCTCTAGGGATGGGGACCTCACTCCTGCCCTGGGCAGCCCCTTCCAATGCCTGACCACCCTTTCAGGGAAGAAATTTCCCCTGATTATCCAATATAAACCTTCCCTGGTGTAACTCAGAACCATTTCCTTCCCACACTGAAATTCCTACAGTGCCATGAGACCTGAGTACCCAGATCTCAACTTAATTAATTCAAATTGAGCTGAATCCCTTGCAAATGCTCCAGTGAAGAACCTGATTTGCTTCACAAGAAAGCAACAGCCACAAACAGCTGTTCAGTTTAAAGATGGGACTTCATACTCTCAGTTTTCAACCTGAGGTGACCTTTTATCACAGAGTCACAGAGTGGTTTGGGTTGGAAAGGACCTTCAAGACCACCCAGTTCCAACCCCGACACCTCCCACTATCCCAGGTTGCTCCAACCCGGCCTTGGACACTTCCAGGGATCCAGGGGCAGCCACAGCTTCTCTGGGCAATCTGTGCCAGGGCCTCCCCACCCTCAGTCAAGGATTTCTTCTCAATCTCTAATCTTACTACTCTCTGTCAGTTTGAAGCCATTCCCTGTGTCCTGTCCCTCCATCCCTTGTCCCAAGTCTCTCTCCAGCTCTGCTGGAGCCCCTTTAGGCCCTGGAAGCTGCTTTTAAGGCAAGAGCTGGACTAGTTTCCAAGCTCTACCACCACTGTCATCCACACTCCAAGAGCCTAAACCAGGTGTGATGTGGATAAAGCCAAGACCCTCCACGGGATCCTTATTTCAGCTTTTTTCCCCTGCCTGGAAAGAAACCTCCGTGACCATCCCGGCAGAGGCAATTCCAGAAGCGACTCCTGCCTTCCCAGGGCAAAATCCCAACCCCCCAAAGAGCAGGTGAACTGGTCCTCAAGCTTTGGTACCTGTAGGCCAGGGTGCAGGTGTCCTTGTACTCCTGGAGCTTCACGCACACCATGTTGAGGAACTGATCCGAGTACGCGCTCAGGTCGTGCATCAGGTTCATCAGGTCCTGCACCGTCTTCTCCACAATCACCGTGCTCTGGGAGAGGGAACAGAAGCCAAGGGATTGATGCCTCAGAGCTTTCTGGGTTTTATTTTTTGTTTTGTAGATTTTAGAAGTAGTTGTGTAGCAAATGTAGATTTTAATGTCGCTGTATTACATCCCTTACCCTTAACACAGCAGTTACACATCCCCAACTCTGTTACCCCACCCCAGATCAATCCCTCTGAATTCCCTCAGCATGTTTAGGCTTCTTGTCAAGGTAGAATTGTAGAAAAACACCCTAAGGCCTGGACCAGAAGATATCCCACAGACACAGTGACCTTCAAGCCCAGAACTGTTGGATTCCAAAAACTGGATATGAGAAAAAGGAAAACTGCTGAGTTTAAACAAAGCCTTGGGCTGACAGAGACTGGGAAAAAACCTCCATCTGGAGTCCAGACAAGGATCCATTGATGTCTGGGGTTTGGAATGTTCTGCCCAATCCTGGAGAAACCATGCCCTGATCTCATCAAACCTGTGCAGAAAACCTTTTGTGTTTTATCTCTCCCTTTGTGTCGCCTGTTCCCCTCTGTAAAATCCCCGAGATAAAGTAGGGTTTTGCCCCTGAGGTAATTCCTAAGACCCCAAGATGTGTTCACCTGGGCTTTCCCCTTATGTCACCCTTCTGAAACTCCCCGATTTTAATAACATGAATATGTAAACCCCCTGTTAAATATGTAAACTCTAAACCCTTTAAAGATGAACTCGTGAGTCCAAATAAACTATTCCAGTTTTCTGCCTCCATTGGGATCATGTTCATTTATTGACCTCTGCACAGAACTTTGGAGGAACTCCAAGGACTGGATGTGCTGCAGAGAATATGAAGATGAGGAAGAAGGAAGGGGTCCTGAAGACCCCAAACCCAATTCCTGAAGGGGCGTGTCAGGGGACAGAAGAAGAAGGGTTTGAATGCCAGGTCTGAAGGTTTGGATTTCTGAGCTGGTTGCTGAGGCCCAGCAAAGTTCACCAGGCCTTTCCTTCACCAGAGGGAACCTCAAAGTGAAAAACTGTGTGATTTTTTAGAGGGATGAGGTGCCCAGAGCCCGAATTGCTGTTCCACATCCCACAGATCCCAGAATCACTGAGGTTGGAAAAGACCTCCATGAGATCAGGGAATCCAAGCTTTGATCACCACCTTGTCAGCCAGAGCAGAGCACTGAGTGCCACTAAGACCCTGGACAGAAGGAGGTGCCATATATCCAATAATGTCCAAGATTTCAACAGCTCCATAGGAATTCTGGGATTTCCCAGGCACCCCAAGGTGACCTGTCCCAGTTTGTGTTTATAATGTCGTGGGTTGTGTTTAATTTGGTAGCTGCAAACAAGACAAGGGGAAGGTTATCAAAGTCCCAGGTTGATATAAATTGAATTATTAATAGTCTTTATGATAGAGTGAAGGGTTATTCCTGACCCTCCTCCTCAGTCAGGGCACACCCCACTCCTCAGCAAGGTGGGGTTTAGGGAAGGTTTAGGCCCCGCCTAAGCTGCTCCTGATCCGTCCTTGGCTCACAACAGCACTTGGAGGAAAAACCTCACTTCTCTTTGGTTCCTCCTGTATCTTATTAAGCAAATCACAGGAATTAACCCATCTTTCATCCTGTAATTAGCAATAATTTGGGATTATTTTGTCCCAAATTATTTGTCCCAGCCTGAAGCAGTTGCTGCTCGGATGCTCCTGTTTACGAAGCTTCTCCTGTTACTAAATAATAAACAAACATTCAATAAATTTTTAATAAATAATCAATCCCACCCCGGGCTTGATGTGCACAGAGGCAGAACAACCAACCCTAAAGGACTTGTCACCTGGAGATGTCCCCAGGAAATGGAGCCCAGGGCAGCGTGGAGGGGCCGTGGCAGCCACGGGGCCGATTTCACACCCAGGGGCTCTGAGCACGGATCATTAACTCCAGGATTCCAACGTCTCCCAGGCTCACTGCTGTCCCTGCCTGCTGTGCCCAGAGAGGGCAAAAGCAGTGTTTTAAGAGTCCACCCAAATCCCACTAAAATCGTGGAATCACGGAATGGTTTGGGTTGGAAGGGACCTTAAAGATCATCTCGTTCCAAGCAGGGACACCTTTCACTAGCCCAGGTTGCTCCAGCCTGGCCTTGGACACTTCCAGGGATCCAGGGACAGCCACAGCTTCTCTGGGAAATCCATTCCAGCCCCTCCCCACCCTCCCAGCCAGCAATTCCTTCCCAATATCCCATCTAGCCCTGCCCTCTGGCACTGGGAAGCCATTCCCTGTGTCCTGTCGCTCCAGGCCTTGTCCCCAGTCCCTTTCCAGCTCTCCTGGAGCCCCTTTAGGCCCTGCAAGGGGCTCCAAGGTCTCCCTGGAGACTTCTTTTCTCCAGCGGAACATTCCCAGCTCTCCTAGCCTGGCTCCAGAGCAGAGGGGCTCCAGCCCTTGGAGCAGCTCCGGGGCCTCCTCTGGACTCCCTCCAGCAGCTCCACATCCTTCAGGAATGTTGTTCCCAGGGCTGGATGCAGCTCTGCAGGGGAGTCTCACCTCAGGGGGCACAGGGAGAGACTGATCTGGCTGGAGAGTAAAGTCATGTCCATGAATGTTGAGCTGTTAAATGTGTGGAAATGACACAGTAATTCGGGGAAATCAGATCCATCAGATCCATCAGATCCACTGGACACAGTCAGGCCTTCCCTGCATTTGGGCTGGTGGAGGAGCTGCTCCTCTTCAACCCTTAATCAGCACCCAGATGGCTCAAAGATGCCTTCATGGACACTGTGTCAGCAGAGGAAAAGGTGACTCTCTCACCTGCTGACCTGAGCCAGGAGAACACCTCCAAGTGCTCAAATGGAAAATATTGGAGTTGCTGCGTGGCCTCAGTCCAAGTCTCCTACTGGGGATTGATCCTGAGGAGTTAAAGTTCACATTTATACACAGGGAATAAAAGAAAAATAGAAAAATCCCTCCTAGCTCGTGTAAAACATGGAAGACAAAAGCAATTTCTCTCCTCTTTGTGTGAACAATCAGATTTTTCCTTTTCCACTGGGATTTCACTGGTCAGGGGCAGGTGGGGTTTCCAGCAGATCTGTGAGATCAACTGACCTCTTGTAGCTTATCAGGAGAAGGATCTGTCCAGGATCTTCCAGGATCCTCAGGTGACTTCCAGGATCCTCAGGAAGATCCAGAAGGATCTTCCAGGACCCTCAGGTGACAACAAACCCCTTGGGTTGGACGTGCAACCACACAAGGAGGAATCAAACCTGGTCTCGATCCAGCTCATCTCAGTTTCTTTACAGAACTCAACATTTGAAAAAAAAAACAAAACAACTTATAAATCCACAACTTCACGTAACAACTTAAAAATCTACAACTTCACATTAAAAGACAAGGCATTGCTGGTTTCTACGTGGCTTCTCCCACTTATTTCTGCTCCCTGCAACATGAGAAGCCTGCCAATGCCTGGATGTCACAATGAAACCTTTGGATTTTGGAATAAACCCTTTGGATTTCAGGGAAACACAAAGCCACCGGGGATGATTAAAAAAAAAAACACGGGAGGGGCGAAAAAGGGAAATTACCATATGAAAGGAGGCACTGCCAGACACGTTAAGGGCTATTTTTCTGGGACATTTTAACCTCTTCCAAAGCAATCCCGACACATCTGTACCAGTGGAGAATCAGATTTTTCCTTTTCCACTGGGATTTCACTGGTCAGGGGCAGGTGGGGTTTCCAGCAGATCTGTGAGATCAACTGACCTCTTGTAGCTTATCAGGAGAAGGATCTGTCCAGGATCTTCCAGGATCCTCAGGAAGATCCAGAAGGATCTTCCAGGACCCGCAGGTGACAACAAACCCCTTGGGTTGGATGTGCAACCACACAAGGAGGAATCAAACCTGGTCTCGATCCAGCTCATCTCAGTTTCTTTACAGAACTCAACATTTGAAAAAAAACCCCAACTTAAAAATCCACAGTTTCATGTAACAACTTAAAAATCTACAACTTCGCATTAAAAGACAAGGCATTGCTGGTTTCTACGTGGCTTCTCCCACTTATTTCTGCTCCCTGCAACATGAGAAGCCTGCCAATGCCTGGATGTCACAATGAAACCTTTGGATTTTGGAATAAACCCTTTGGATTTCAGGGAAACACAAAGCCACCGGGGATGATTAAAAAAAAAAAAACACGGGAGGGGCGAAAAAGGGAAATTACCATATGAAAGGAGGCACTGCCAGACACGTTAAGGGCTTTTTTTGTGGGACGTCTTAGCCTCTTCCAAAGCCCTCTTCCAAAGCAATCCTGACACATCTGCCGGAGCCTCTGGGGACACTCTGTGTTGCCAGGACAGCTGGATTCGTTAGCAGGGCCGGGGGAATCCTCTGAAAGTCGGCGCCGGGAAATGAAAGGCAGCGCTCTTGTGTTATCCCAGAGTTACAACCCAGTTGCCTCTGACCCATCCGGGTTCATTAAGAGCAAATGGATGTGATCAAAGGATAATTTCGTGGCGAGACACTTCAATGGAGGCTTTAAAAAAAACCCCAACAAACCCACAGAATTCATTTACAGCAGGAGAGCACTCCAGGTAAAAGAGTCCAGCTGGAGGGGAGTTTGTAAAGATCCCTTAAAATGCAGTTTCAGGACAAGGAAGTTCGTTCCCAACCATCCTCGACACGTGGAAGTTCAAAACAATGGGTCAAGGATACACAAACTTCCAGGTTTTCATGGAATGGTTTGGGTTGGAAGGGACTTGAAAGATCATCTCTTTCCACTCCTTGCCATGGGCAGGGACGCCTTCCACTGTCCCAGGTTGCTCCAAGCCCTGTCCAGCCTGGCCTTGGACACTTCCAGGGAGGGGAAGAGTCATTTTATTTTCCCCAACTGTTCAATAATTCCTTTGGGATTACTGCCTTGTGAGAGTTTTCCAAAGGACTGGATTCATTTACAGCAGGAGAGCACTCCAGGTAAAAGAGTCCAGCTGGAGGGCAGTTTGTAAAGATCCCTTAAAATGCAGTTTCAGGACAAGGAAGTTGGTTCCC